TTCTCACAAGAGGTGGTTACGCTACAACACTAAACAGTGATCACTTATGTCATGCAGTTTCTCTCTCTGGGATCTTCCTTCCTTCCGTGATTTAGCAACCCCAAAGTGTCACTCAAGGGAAAATTTGACTGGACAGACCTTGAGTCGCTCCATCCCACAGTCCACATCATACATATATATACACACACAACGAAGCAGAAGCCCGAGTAGGAAGACCAACTCTGGGTCAAACCCGCATGCAAGTCACTGCTTTTGTTTGCCTCACATCACACCGCATGGCATACGTGCACTTCTCATCTGCCTGTCAATTTACATTGACATTAAAAGGGAAATCAGATCTTTAGGCTAAATGTGTTACCATTTGTTTTTGAAAGCAAGCAATAGACAGAGCTTGATTTACTCTGTGCCTAACCTAGAGTAAAACCTATTTTCAAGAAAAGAAGCACTTGCTGAGACAAGTATATACTGGTTTTTAGCAGATTTGTCGCTATGCGCTCAGGTCAGCTCCCGTTAAAAGTCTGCAGATGGGGATGAACATTTGTCTGGGCCCGTGGTGGCTGGCTGCAGCAGCGGATGGGCTCAGCAGCAGAGGATGCTCCATGGAGGGGTCTGGCCACAGCATGGCCTCCCTGGCAGAAAGCAATCACTTGCAGGCACCTGGTGTTCAGCCAACGCGATGGGGCAGGTCAGGAGTCACCAGTGGTCCTGAGCAAGGCCAGTCACGCAGCTTTGCTAGAGGAAAGAAAGCCTTCCCTCTCTGTCCTGATATATAGCGCCCTGTGCATCAGCTTAGTTTGTCATTTTAAGAGGTAAAAATGCTGTGGGAGAACTCCCTCAGACAAGTCTGTAACTAGGAAGATTTCACAGGAAGAGAGAGATAAAAAGGGCAATTGAATGAAGAAGAAATCGTATGTGTAAAGTCAAATCCTGCCCAACAGAACACAGGTCAGGAGCATTTGGCAAATATAAGGCGAACAAACATACAATTTTTTCCCAACATAAAAAGAAAAACCCCAACAACCCAGCAGAGCTCTGGCTGGAGCACGGGAGCAGAGTGAGAGGGATGGAAACAGGGACCATGCTGGGGGAAGTGAGTCCCCACGACCCGCTGACTCCCCAGGGCCCTGCAGCAGGTACAGCTGCTCCCCGCGACCCCAAGATGCGACTCACCCGTCGGCAGTGGCCGGCATCCTGCGACACGCAGTTTCTGCAGCACAGTGACCCTTATGGGCAAGCCGGACCCTCGCCACATGGGGCCGAGCGAGGCCTAGGAGCCCACGGGCCATGCCTTTCACCAGGATGACATGATGGGTCAGCAGGTCACAGGCATCTCCCCTCGACAGACGCAGCCATTCCTCTGGGCACTGGTGGAGGTAAGTCCTCGGGATCAGCCATCTGCCTGTGCCACCTCTCAGATGCCTGGCCCTGAGGCCTGGCAGTCTCTCAGGATAAAGCCATCCCCTCGTGCCCCACAGGGCAGCTCTCATCCAGCATGGAAGGAAAGGACCATCCCGGAGAGCACACCCAGCAGTATCCCCTGGTCCTTTGGCAACAAGCACTTTCTGGAGCCAACTTTGGGTTCTGGTCACAACATCGCAGCCTTGCAAAATGCGTGGTTCAGATCTGCGGCTCCCGCAAGCCCCACAGGATGGGCCCAGCTGAAAGGCAGCCCCTCACTGCAGACACCTTCCCGCATTTCCCAAGCTCAGTGGTCTCTGGGCAGCACTCTCAGCCACCCCCACCCTTTCCAAGGCCTCTGCTACCCCTCACAGACAGCACTGCAGCTGCTGCCCTGCACTGCGCCTTTGCCTTTCGCCACCTATGACCCTTCCCCACCTCAGGCCACAGCCCCACACACCACCTTCCCACCCTCTCTGATAAATGCCCAAGCCCCTGCTCCACTCCCACCTCCCCACCAGCAGCCCCCAAACCAAAACCTTGTGCTTTCTTGTCTTTCAGGACCCTTTTGCCATTTTGTGCATGCAGAAGGGAGGTTAATGGTGTGGCAGACCCCTTGGTGCCTTCTTTCTGTTTTTCTTTTTTTGGTTTAATTTATCTCTGGAGGCCAAATAGGCCTTGGCAAGAAAGCAGTCTCACACCATACCACACAGAGGACAACTGAGCAATCAGAAAAGCTAGTCATGAAAGAGGAAGGGCTTCTGAAACTTCACTCGTGGCAGAGCTGCCATTTTACCACAAACATTTATACCATATTTTGACCTGAAAGGAGTCGATATCAAGTCTTACGTGAAAGATTCAGCCATCCGTCCCCTTCCTCACACTCCTGCGTTGGCACGGCACGCACCAGCAGCGCACAGCTATGGCTTTTTTCTCCTACCATCATCCACCAGCTGCCATGTGGCACCATAGAACAAGGGACGTCCCGCAGTGGCACAGCCAGAGACATGATCCTTAGCAGGCTTTACAAGTGCAAGGTCTTCGCAGAAGGTGCAGCAAGAGACCTAACCTACCGTGAAACCTCCAGCACCTGTGACATCTTCAGGAGACCCACCTTGTCTGAAACTGGTCCTGCCCCATCGTACGGCTCTATGTCTAGGGAGTCTCCTGTGCCTGGACTCCAGGCAGGCAGCACATCTTGAAGGAGGGAAGGCAGGATGCAAGTTGGAATACAGGACGTCTGGGAAAGTTAGGACTGTTCCAACAACTCACAGCAAGGGGAGAGGGGTAAAAGGGGAATGATCAGCTGGGGTGAGGGAGCTCAAAAGAAAAAAGGAAAGAAAAAAAAAAAGTAATTCTTGGAGCTGCTGGTGAAACTACTAATTCCTGGCTCAAGTTTGTGAAATTTGCTGTCTGCATTTGTAGCTGTAATATCTTAGGATGATTCTCACACTCTGCTAAGAGTTCCAAAAAAAAATGTTAATAACTGATGAATATAAGCTGAACATAAATATTGTTTAACTTATTAAATTTTCTAGTATATGCTTCCAAAGCCTACATTACCCAACGTATGCTTAATTTGATAAAAACATTAAATACTTTGATTTGGCATTTAATACATCCTTACGTGATGTTATAATATATATCTCTATCATCATGCACAGATAACACAGAAATACACACCTGAAAATGTTTTCTTTCTAGAGAAATAAAAGAAAGTCCTACAAAAAAAAGCCTCACAGTTTTAAATTTAAAGTAAAAATAAATGTAATTAAAAACAGCAGCCACTGAATTATAAGCCGCTAGTGTAAAACCGCACATCATTAATGATGACATGACCCACAGGAACAGATACATGTGGGTCCAACCTTGCAATGCCAAGCTCATACCTGTCTTTAGTCCCTGCACTCCAGGATCTGACTTTCTTTCAGACTTGCCTGAAAATGCTGCTCGCCATGTGCTTAAATATGAACGGCTCCACTGCTGAACAGCTCAGGAACCTGTATTCCTGGGTTTTCAGAGGTTATAAAGATGGCAGTTAGTGCAAATAGTGAGAGGTTGGTTTCCTAATTCCATTTCTTATTTTAAGTATGTCCTTCTCATATGTTTAACATGCAAAAAAATGCACATAAAATAGCCCCAATCCCTGTTTCTCAGAGAAATATCTACCTTCAAAATTCAAAAGATGGAAACAAATCACAAAATCACAGCTGGGTTTATCAAGGTGCCCTCTTCTGGCCTTTAAAAAAAAAAAAAAAAAGTCAGCATGCTGTCACCTGGTTTCTTTGCTTGGAAGAGGCATCAAAATGAGCATCTGTTTGTGCAAATACTTCAGTTTATTTAATAAACCGGCCAGTAAAATACCACCACAGACCGTTCTTGATACCATACAAAACATGTTTAAAAATCCTTCAGTTATGTATGAGTTTACAAAAATAACTTACAACACTATTCTAGAAATCTCAGTAGAAATACATGAACTTGTTACAGCGTAGAAATTCAGACATAAGGAATTCTGCCCAGAGGGCTGGAGAATTTATGCCTTATTCACACCGCACTACTGAACTCCCAAGAACCATTTAATAAAAGTAATCCGAACCTTTCCACTAAAACAGAGGGAAATTAAAAACCCGACCAAAAATACATTCATTTCCATTACAAAGACACATCTTTACCATTTCTTGATAAATATGTACGCAGTTTATCCAACACAGGAGGAATATCCAAGCATTTGTTATTTTCCATTGAAACCTCTGCTTTAAAAGTATTGTTTTCTTAATCAAATATAAAATAAAGCACACATGGAACTAAATACAGCTTTTAGGCCATATCTACATAGAAGATTTTTCACTATTGGTTTTTGGAGGTTGGGTGGGGGGATTGTTTGCTTGTTTGTTTTGGGGGGTGTTGTTTGGTTGGGTTTTTTTTGATTCTACAGGTACAGTAATGTGTGAGAAAGTCTCAATAGTGCTGTGTTCAAAGTGGCCAATTTAGACCTGAAACAGTGCAGTGTATGATAGCTCACCTGGAAAGGAAAAAATTATTCAAATCTAATAAAGTTGCACAGAGCTCTTGGAAGTATAATTCATTCCACATTGGAATTCTGTCAGTTCCAAACCGGATTAATTATAATCACATAAGCAGCAAGACAAAGCTAAGATCACATCTGTGTTATACACATGGTGGTTACTTTCAGGGTTTAAAAAAAAAAAAAGAGTCAATTTTCTGCATAACAAGACCTTAATAAAAAGTATTTTCCTTTCTCACTAAGGAGAATGTTTGCACATAAAAAATCATAACAGAGTCAGTTTGGAAGCCAAGAAATATGTTATTCTAGATGGTACTAAACTTTTTTCCAAGGATACCTTCTTCCTCACGATCAAACATGTCGATACAATTTACCTTCCACAGGCAACTGAGCTGGTAAAATGCATGCTCATGAGGAGACCTTGCAATGGTTGTGTTACAACCTGGTACCACAGGAGAACTATACAATTATCTGAACTTGCGGTAATTTTCTTGAGTTCGGAAGTTCTTTGTTCAGGTAAGAAACTAGAGAGGAATAAAACCAAACCAAAACAGTTGTTTTCCAGCTGTGCTAGCAGTTCTTCCATCACTGCCCACGAGACAATGCAGGCTTTCAGGCTATGACTTCATGAAAGCATTGGTTAAATGCCCTGCTAAGCAACAGCTTGACAGTCAATATTCCCATTGCGTTGCTAATTGCCAGCCAGTCACCGCAAGTGACCAACTCCCACAGTGCTCTTCTCCTTAGGATGATGGAACGCCCTGGTTAAGATCTACACATTTCTGCAGACACCCAAGGATGACTTCTCCCAAAACCTTTCTTTTGAATCGCACAAGTCGGACACTGCGATAAAAGTCAGTCTCTGGCAATAACACGAATGGGGGTCTTTAACCTCAGCATCCAGCCATAAGGGTATTTTCACCAGAACGCTTAGTCACCGACAGGGTGGTGAATATCTTAAGAGAAAGAAAAAAGGAAAACTTTTAGTATAGCTAAAATTAATCTTCTTTTCTGCAAGATCAACTTGGGCATAATGCTCAAAACCACAGCCATTTCTTAAAGTAATAAAATAATAATGAAAAACATACATTTAAAATCCTTGCCACTAAATAGCACACCTGCATACAAATACCCTTTGTTCTCTTCATTTACCTTATGGTCTTCCTTTTATAGTGGAAAAGAAAGAATTAAGGAAGTCACATGGCTTTATACCATCTTTAGCCTTAATTCTCCTAAGTTTTTACAGTGGGAACGAGCTCAACCATAATAAAGTCCAGTCTGTACACCTAATGAATAAGTGTCTTTATGGCTCAAAGATAACTTCTTTGTTGGAAAAGTGAAGTTAACTCAAGACTACGGCATTTGGAGGGAACATAAATTTTGCCTCTGTACCTTTCTAGATATTACAGAAATGTGGGACCGATTGCTGATGTAGGTATTATGTCTGGGATCTGTATCCTCTGGACAATAGCTAAGAAACACTTACTAAATCTAGTTTGAAAAAGTCCAATCTTTACTGCTTTCAAGTCACATTAAAGAAAACAACATACTCAAGAATAATTACTGTAAAATTAAAAGGTATCAAAATAAAAGAAGAAAAATTCTACAAAAACTTGTTTAACATTGTTTAACATTGTTTAACATAACTTTACAATGCAAATAATTGCATAGTTTTGCATAGATACAATACAGAAAGGAAAAAAGGAAATCAAATCCACTTCTACCTAAATGGTTCAAAGGTGCAATAATTAGCTATCATCAAAGCCAACTCTCAGGAAGAATAAACTTAGCACAGAATAAAGTACATACACATCTCAGTTATGCAAATAACACTGAAGTATCTAAAGATAATGGGGATCTGAAAGCCCTACAATTCTCTAAGTAGAAGCTTTGCTGCATTAAGACTGCTAGGAGCTCTTCAGAGAACAACATCAATAAATGATATACCTCTTCTGCTTTCTCTAAGCATGTAAAGCATTACGCACAAATCAGGAAGACAAATGCACGTCTAATATATATGGCAGAAGAATAGCAATATATTTTAACTATAGTGCATGGCTTGAGACAGGGTTTCTAACTCTTCAGTTCTGATCCACAGACTGACAACATATGGGAATCTTCACTTATTATTATTTCACTTTGAAAGACAAAGATTAAAGCACAAAATTTATCTGCTTTCTTCTTGGCCCGACTGCAAGCTCTGGGTGTGCTCTAGCCAGTTCCAATGGCTGTGGGGATGACACAACTGCCTCACTCCAGTAAGCCAGCTGGAGTAATTTGGTAATTATTGGAAACTTGAGGTTTTGGACAGAATTTGTTAGCTATTCCAATGAAGACAAAACCTTAGATGCAATGGCTGGAAAGCCGTTATTAGCTAATTCAAAGAATCATTCCAGCTTTCAGAAGACACTTTCCCTTCATCACAGATGCTCAATTATACACGCCTGTATTTCAAGCAGTGCAGTGCAGTCTAGGCTGAGAGGTAATTCTCTGTAAGGCTGAGGTCCTACCAACTCTGTGCTCGCAGTGGTTTGTACTTTGCCTTGCAAGAAATCCCATTCAGAACTCGTGTTTTCTGCAGGATAAAATGCCGTTCAAATAAGAGAAGTGAAATCCGGCTCTAATTTGTAAGCAGCGAGAAATGGGACCCTCAGTCTTACGGTCTTCTTCAAGTTGAGTAATACCATGTTTCACAGGAGACTCTTTGAGCAATGAATTAGTACTAATGGCAGTGAAGATGTCAGCATTTGACCTTGCAACACTGTCCCTTACCTGCTCAGATCAGATTTCATTTTCCTTAGCTTTTACATGGATCTAAGGTAAAAATAATGCTATTATCCATCATTCTATTCATGCAGATATGCACAGGCCTCACAAATTCCAAACCATTTTTAAGTATTTTTTTAATCAAAGAGTACGATCTCGCACTTCAATTTTTGTTTACTGCTCAAGAGATTAAATTAAGTAACAGACATTAAAAAAAAAAATCTTTTGAAGATTGGCACTAAAAATGATCGCTGTTCCCTGAAGCTTTTAAAAAGTGTATTTCTCCTGAGCCAATTTCTTCCTCCCCCACTCAAACAAATATGATTATCTGAAATTACCTCCCTAAATTATGTCTAATCATCATTCTGTTCAGTTTCAATTTTAGCAGCTCAGATGTCCAGAATAAATTATGACTATTATCCTCTCTTCACACTGCATATGCTAATATCCCACTTGGGTTCACAGGTTTGAATGCCTCCCTCAGAGTTCCCCCTCCACAGGGGCCCTGGTAAGATAAGGACCTGCTAGCCCTCTTCAAGGGCTTCCAAGAACGACATTAGATGATACGACAGGAAAAAACAAACAGAATCTGTATTGCGGATGCTTTGAAGATGATTCAGATCGGTAGTAGTCCATTCCATGAATGTAGTTCGTATTATATTGCTTATACTGTATCACTTTGGAAACAGAAAAATAGAGAAGCAGACTTCACTCCTGCAGACCAGCATCCTAGTGCACTCTTTTAACCCTTTGCAGTTAGCACAAGCAGGTAAAAACAGAGATTCTGTACAAAGACCTACAAAGGTCATAAAAAGTTCGCAGGGATCCTCAGCTAATACAAACCAGTCCTAATGCTACTAAAAAAAACAATGGAGCATCTCTGATTTACACCTGGGAGGAGCTGTTTCCACCCTGCTAGAGAAAATTAAGCTCTTCAGTAAAAAGGAATGGCAAGACAAACACAAGAAGAAATATTTGTGTGGCCTCATGTACTTCACTTCAAAAGTGAAGGCCTACAGAGTAAAGGAGAGATCTTTAGAAGGACAGAATTTAAAATTGTCTTGTAGATGGTGCCCTTCCACAGCACCAGTTTATAAGCCTATTTGAGAACACATACCTAAAAAAAATTAGCTTTGACAACCACTTCAGCAGAAATAGTATTTGAAGCCTTCATAAATGGATCTTTGAGTGGGAGGAAAATTCTATGCTTCCCAATAGAAAGAGCACTGGATTAGGGGAGACTATAAACACTTCACAAATGAACAAACTAAAAAAATATATCTCAGGTTAAACCTAAATATTAGATTTCTAAGTATTAAAACCAGATAACTTTCTGTCCTTCCCTCTCCCCTACTTCCCCCCAAATTTGGACCTCTTTAATAGAGCTCTGTTATTCAGATTTCCAACACCTTACCCCAGAATGCTACGAAAGTTAGGCTATCAGGTGACTTCATATACAAACCTCTGCACAGACGGGATGAATTCCTATGGTGCTGTTCAGCTGTTCTTTTGTCATCCCACATTTAATAGCAGCTGCAAACCCTTGGGTGACTTCTCCAGCATTTGGACCAAGGACGTGGAAACCAACGACTCTCTCCTAAATACGAAAGATAACCAAATGAAAGCACAGTCGTGTGTTCAGTTCTCTTTAGACAACGTGTAAGGTTTTCTTACTCACAGTATATAATTTAATCAACTCACAAAACATACCACAAAAAGTTAATGTAACCACACAAATATGAACTATCATTAGCACCAACAGATGGGAGATAGTCGGTATAATTTTGTTTTCTCTCTGAAAAGGCAAAGATTCAATTAAGAACTCAATAATCAGCTTCCTTACAAAGTTTTGTCCAGGAGTCCTCCGTTTACATCTACGGAATGCAAATTAAACACACACCATAGTCTATGCTTGATTATTCTGTGTTCAAATTGCAAACATATTTAAATTTTATTCAGGCAAGCTAGTCCACTCATTCCAACAGACTGCTTGCCTAAGTAAAGACGAGCACATTGCACAAAGGTTTACAACATCAGGGCCTATGCTACATGGCTACATGGTGCATACCTATTGAAGAACTTTCAGTTTGATTGTTGCTTACAGGAAAGGGCCACAAGCTAAAGTTCTGGCTAACCAGATGTGGCAAGAAGTGCACTATAACTAAACGGATGACTACTCTTGTTGCAGTGCTCGCTGTCATTGGGAGATAATATACCTAGAGACCAGCAAAACAAACTGAAAGACATCCAGTGATTACAAGGAAGATACTACTACTTCACACTTCTCATATCTATACTATCGTTCAATTGCAAAACATGTCAAACTGCACATATATCCTCAGCAAATGCTCAACAGAACAAGTTGTACTGGCTTGACCTGCTTTTCTTAAAGAAGAGCTTGCTTCTCTAAGAAAAGCAAGTCTCCTTTAGCAAATGCCAACTGCTGTGGGCTTTAGTGGTTTTCAGGGCATTAATCAGATTTTGCTAAGCATAGATGGGAGCCCAGTTGGGTATCAAAAGTTATCTGCTCCTCCCGCTAAATATCACATATAAAGGGAGTGTGGATACTCAGTACACTGGAAGGTTATTTTTCTTTCAGTAAGCCTGAGGACTGAGATTTACCACAGGGTTTATTTAAATAAGAAGAGCTATAATTAGGTAATAACTAAAATGGAATTATCCTTATTTTCCTTTAAAAATATGGACATACGTAAAAATAAAACCATAGTAATAAAACCAAGGTAACTACAATTTTAAATAGTTACTGAACTATTTTTCATCCAGGATAACTTTCAACTACCCCCCCCAGATGTTTAAACACGTTCCACATTTTCAGGACAACAAATGGAAACAAATTAATGAAACACTTTAAATGACCATTAAGCCTTTTCATTTTCTTAAGTAACTTTGGATTAGGAACGTAACCACGGGTTCTAAACTGGCTTCCACACTAGTGCAAACTCCTCCAGAAAGAGGAGACAGGCAAAACCAAAAGTTTGCAAATTTTACAAAATAGTGACATGATGCTTAGAAAGACTGCAGGAAGATAAATCTGTATCTAATGATGAAAGAAAACTAGTAAAACAGATTAAAAACATTTTAGGCCTGATAACTCTATGCCACTATCTTAACAGGAATACATTTTAACAGCATATTATTCTTCATAATAATTCATATTATTAAAATCAACTAAATTTTTATTAAGCAGATGATGATCAGAGAGGGGCATACCAATTCTTTTAATCAATTAGTAATTTTGCTTGTGCTTCAGCAGGTACTGTACATTTCCATCGCGAGGAAATTTTACCCTAGTTCGAGGATAATCCTGGCATTATCACTCTAAATAAGATTTGTGCAGGCAAGATACATTAATCCTGTTAGATCGAGCTCAAGAGTTTTATAGATACACGTGGATTTGCAGAGGTTACAAGTTGTTATCATTTCTGAGCGACCTCAATTTCAGAGAGAGGAATCTTCCAGAAAACAATGTCTCAGTTTGGGGAGCAGAGAATAAGATAAACTGATAAAACTTCTAACTATTTTTACATGCATTGATTTGCTCACTTTTCAAAGTTAATGAGCAGCCTTAGAGATCTCTACTTCTTATTTTATATATATGGAAGAAGTACAATATATCAATAGCAACAGCAGAATTTTCTATTTTACTAAGGTCATTTTTGTATAAACAAAAGTATTGTATCACTATAAATATTTATTACATTTCAAAGGTATAAAAATTTAAATTAAGTTTAATTTGTTAAAAACAACCTATTTACAGCTGTGGTATCAACTGTTCCTATGAAGAACATACATATGCTGTTTTCCCTGGAAGGAAAGACACACTTACATTATCTTGAATATGGCAAATTATCTTCGCATAGCATTTGTTGTTATCTCTGGACGGCACAGTCCATTCCAGTGGCCAGAAATGACTATGGTACACCTGGAAATACAACACAGGTTAAAGAAAAATAGTTGTGTAATTTCAGAGCAGAGAGCACGATCTTCCAAAAACTGCCAGATTATCTTAAATAATGAGTCAGGCACATAGCATTTGGAATATCTGAAATCAGAGTGAGACTC